GTACCGACGGCCGTGGTGTCGGACCGGGTGTCATATTTACAGGGGTCGGTCGGCCGTGGTGTCAGAGGGGAAGACCAAAAAAAAAAAAAAAAAAAAAAAAAAGCCCAACGGATACTTTTGGGACCGAAATTGCTCATTTCGAGTTCGCGCGTGGTTTCTTTGCGGGCGCGCGTCGTCTTGCCTTTAGGGTTTCAAAACATGCCGCATCTGCCGTTATGTCTTATTAATCGTTGCAATAATAATCATTATATGTCTAGAAATTCGACAATCAAGGTACAATATCCGTGGCCACACTTAACTCTATTTAACGACCATCGTTGTGACTTGACGGCACTGGTTATGGGTTTAGGGTTCGCCTCACTGATTCAGCGAACCCGATATTCGTCACTGTACTGGTTCTGATGTCAGCACCCGGGCCAGGCGTCAGCTCCAAATTGTTTGAGCAGAGCTATGGCGTATGGCGTAGCTTCCTCTGGCTGTCTTAGCCTGACATTCGTCGACTCAGATATTGGGTCATATAGTTGGTGTGCATGTTGCTCCAAATTTTGAATCCCCCCCAACAAAATCTGCCTCCCCTCTAAACCGCCAGTGCTTGATCCCCCCCCCCCCCCCTCTCTCCTCACAATGTTTGCACCATGCAGAAGGAGGTTGCACCTCCGGCGTATGCACCGGCATGTCTGCAGCAGGTTTGCTTTTCCAAAAGGGTGTCACTGACGGCCTTGAGGTATCATCGTTGACGCTGATTGAACCGATCGGCCACAGGTAATGCAGAGTTAGTGAATTCCATCACGATTCGAACTCAGGTCTATGGAGCCACATGGCATGGGTTGATATTTTAAGTCCATGGGAAATTTCAAAATTTCCATCAGGAGCATGCTGGAGGTGAAAATTTGCCCTGCCGGCACCAGCAGTTAAAGCTGCCAGTACACAGCCCCAGCCTTGCTGACAAGAAAACTCGTCGCCTACTAAATTTTTGGAGGCCCAGTGCCGTAGATAAATAAATACAATCGGCAGCGAGCGGCCTCCGAGAAGGGCCCGCAGCTGATAGCTGGATGTACTGCAGCTGTTTAACAGCCAGATCTATAAACACAGTGATGTGGGACACTGATCCGACGGCTACTGCCTCAATCAAAAACAGCATCCCTTTGTGGCTTGTCCCATTGACAGTCATCAGGTCTATACAGCATGAGTGTGTACTCCTGGGGCGAGGTCCCACTAGCAAAGAGGATTGGATTGCATGCCTGAATCTGGACTTGTTCGAGGACAGATGCAGAAAACCATGACTGATCCGCTTTTCTGCATCTCCGCCTAGAACCTGTCCAGATTCAGGTTCTTGATTGGATGCATTTAACTTTGCTAGTGGGACCTAGCCCCTGGGGCAACGTTCTTCTTAATTTGGTTTGGCTATGCCAAATAAAGAATCTTTGCATTCTTATTCAATATTTTTAACTGAACCATCTCCCAGGGGTGAAGTCCCACCGCCGAATTGGAGTTTTCTCAACGCTCAGCTTTCTATCACGTGTGGCATGGTGGGACGGACTCGGAGCTCTGTCGTTGATGTGTATTGAGAATCTAAGGGTACCGAAATACAGGAGAATAACCTATTAGATTTGGTCGTTTTGTACATTTTTTCGTTGATGTGAAATCCGTTTTGTCCTATGCTTTGGCCCTTTCCGTTTGGGCGGGAAACCATTTTTCATTGAGAAAACTACCCTACCGAGGGTAGGGTGCATTCCTCAACTTATGTGACTTTCGCTTTTTTGGTTTTTCAGACATCACTACACCCGAGGGTGATAGCCGAGGTCACAATAGTAAGGCGGCATCCCCGTGGCTAGCGAGACGGCGTGGTTGTAGGCTATCTCCGCGTGGGCAAGATGGAGATCCCATTGCTGGTCGTCATGAGCAATCTTTTGGAGAATATCTCCGAGAGTCTTGTTCGTGATCTCAGTCTGACCCTCAGTCTAGGGATGGTAAGACGAGGAGAAGCGGAGCTGGGTGCCGTACACCTCGTGGAGTCGTCGCCAGAATCGGCTTGTAAAGCGCGGGTCACAGTCAGATATGATGCTCAAAGGTAAGCCATGGTCACGCACGACTCGGTCAAACACGATGTCGGCGACCTCACGTGCACTGATGGCATAACGGCACGGAACAAAGCGTGCACACTTCGTGAAGCGGTCGACGACGACCAGGATAGCATCATGACCGCGGGGAACTCTGACAGCTGTGTTTGGCTCTCTGGCATCAAACTCTCTCCCTTCTTTCGGCAATGAACGCATCTGGCCATCCATCTTGTCCCTGTCCATTTTACGAATGGTGACCTCCTGTGTCCCCTCACCACGGGAAGTATACTTTTTCCGCGGAGATTTTCACTCCGACTCTGCCAGACGTGTTTCATTTCTCCGAGTTACTTAATAAAAAATAAGGAGAAAAGCTGTTTGTAGCGTTTTTTTTTCAGTTTTTTAATTTCTTGTTTCGAATTTATAAATGTCAAAATGATGTCACACGGTTGCGTTTTCTAAACTTAAACTTGGGCGGTGGCACTTCAGCCCAGAAGAGATCCTCAAATAATTGCTTCACATGGATCCGACAAAGATATTTGTTTTCAAAATTTTATGACAAATTGATTGATAATGGACTGCTTAAGTTGTTAAAACTTGAATTATTTCCATATCTTCTATCTACTTTTTTTTTCATCAGGAGGCTTGCACCTCCATTTAGCTAATCAGAAAAAAAAAAAAAAAAACTTCTGAGAAACAATAACAAATCAATAAAGTGAAAACAAAAAAAATAAAATAAAATGATAGATTAAAAAATCCACAAAAGCCGGCAGCCCGCTGTCGGGCTGGGGCACAAATTTCGGGAAGGGGTCAGGAATCTCTGAGGGAGGGAGGGCGCAGCGGAATCGCTGGGTCCCCCTTGGTTCAGTCCTTGGAAGTAAATGAAACCTTGATATCACTGAACATGGAAAAGATACACTGCCATTGTTTTTGTCTTTTGGGCATGACCATATCTTATGACCCCCTGGCCCCTGTTTCCAGCAGGTGACGCTCCCCACCAATAGAATGAAGCAACCAGCGTAGGAGGGATGCTAGAGAAGGATGCTCATACCACCCCCTCTAGCAGGCCCATGTGGTTTCCAAAAAAAAAAAAATAATAACAATAAAAAATCAGATGCTGCAAACATCCTGATATCTGTTTTAAAGTTTTTTGACATAGTCACCTGCCCCCCTATATCGCAGATGTGACGCATCCTGATTCCAAATGTATACAAGCCATCTTTCCGGTCCGGTGCGGCCAAAATGAGTGTGCGTTGTGTTTGGTGGAAGACAGTAGTAGTCTAGTAGTAACCAGGCACTCCTCTTTCTACCCTCTTTAACAAAATCCCCAGATGTATCATCCTATGGTTCCAGTTCATCAGACCCTCCGCAGATGCAGAAAGCATCGGGCAGTCCGTCGATAAAGTCTTCGTTCCAATTGTTGGGAGAAGGGGGAAGAGTCAATGGGCAAAAAGCCCACTAAACAAACTATTTTCTGGGCCCCCGGCTTAACAATCTATTTATTTTTAGCAATAGGTTGTGCCAGAGACTCTAGGATGCACAGTCTCTAGCTCAGCAAAC